TGTAGTTTAAAAGGCGAGGAAAATGTGTTTTTTCTTCTTTCAAAACGTCTGTATGGATCACATTTACGTCGTGTAAAATAGCGATCATTAAGTAAACTATATTTGGCAGATTTACAATATATTGACAATTAAACTAAACAGTAAGGTGCTTATTTGTGTTATTAAATAGTGTCACTGTAATGGTCCGTGTGGGTGGCCGTGGGTGTCGTAAGAGCCGACTAAGGAAAAAAACAGCACTGCAGAGACAAGGAAAACTTGACACAAACCCTATACCAACCCGTCTGGCCAGCGTGGTATAGTAGGCCAAAACCTCCTTTCTAAGGAGAGGCTTATGTCCAGCAGTGAACTATTAAAAGCCGTTGATGATGACTGTAGTGCATACACATCTAGGATATCAATAGAAGTAACTAAACACTGTTTATCAATATATATAATATATATGTGTATAACTATTTATCTGTCGTCTCGAGCCACGTCGACGACGGAAAGGCATTCGTAAATCGACCGACGCGGAGTGCAGAGCCCATATTCATATTAGAATAGCATTAAATATAATACTTATAACAATACAAGTGTATATTATAGTCACAATTGTGTTTGAAATCTTTATAATAACACAAATACTAATAGTTTGGTTGATTAATAATGCAGTTTTAATTAACAAGTATGTTAGATTAGCCGGTGTTGGCAGTTGGCAGTAAAAACTTAATATGTGTTTGTGTTTTTAAGTAGTTGTATATTACTATTGATTATTGTTGCTTGTTAGAGTATAAAATATATTTATTTAAATACGTTATTTGATCGGAACTGTTATTTAAACAATAAATTTAGACAGTCTAACAAACAAAAAACTAAATTAATGGTGAAATTTCAAATCTCAGTGAGAAATTATTGGATTCCACTGCACCAAAACACGAATTTACAGTATTTGCCATTTAACTATACTTAAAAAATATCGTCTTTCATTTATAAAATTAAACCCACTATCATAGACGATTGGTTGAAACTTTCACAGCATAAATTCACGAACTTAAACGATCGAATAAAATTTTATTGTTGCCTATCTTGTCCGGGTTGACCGGGGCAATTAGCCATTGTTATACCCGGCTTTATGGACAAATACCCGGGTACGTGGCGCTTCGGCAAGGCTTCTATGATTTATAAGCCTACGTGGCCTCGTTCAGCCATTGTTCGATGTTGCCGAGATATTCCGATTTAGATCGGATTGTGATGCCACTACATTATTAGTGGGTGATTTGTCTCGCGGTTAGTGAATTGTATGATTTATTTGTTCTGATTCTTATGATTCAGCTATTTCCAGAGTTAAATTGCCTCAGATAAAACTTTTATACTAAACACTTTATACTATTACCTATGTTAATGACCTCTGTGACGAAACCAACACAGGTCTCATACCTAGGACTGATTTAATCCCCTCTCTGAGCAAATATTTGTGTGCACGAATACGTCCATTGACATGCATAGGCCCGGGTTTTAATTTTTAATATGTATTCACGTAAAAAAAAAAGTTTTCCACGCATATTTATCCGTATTTTAACACCCACAGTAACTCCGTATATATTACGTAGTATTTTATATATATTACGTACGTAGTATTTTCTCGACTGCAGAACGATGATATTGCAACACTTTACCTGGAAGGAAAACCAAGTGGAAAATTCGTAAAAAAAATAAGATACCTCTGCGTTTGACGCGTTTGATAAATTACTTTTATTAGTGGATTTGTCATGGGAGCCATCTATCACGCCATAACGATCGAAAAACGATCTTATATCGCTTACTACGAATTGATTTAGAAATCCAAATACCCTTGTAAATTTCATCGGAACATTTTTCATAGTGAAAGTATCTTCAAGGAGCTCATCGGTGAATTTGCAGAGATTGAGAAAGTGATTGTAAGGTCAAACGATGTTTGCTGCTATCAGTCTATTTGTTACCTGATTAATGATTAATGTGTATGACAGTTTCATCGTGCGATTCCCATCCAATTCCAGACAAAGAGTTTCGTGGTGAGTGCGATCATTTGCTCTGTGTCTGGGTGTAGTTTATCTCTAATAAATACGACATTGTATTAAGAAATATGTAATTATTTATTAGCAGTCTAGCTACTATAGTACAGGCTCTGCCTAGTTTGGGATTAGATGGCCGTGTGTCTGCTGTTAGGTTATTATTATTCTAATTTCTTATAATATTAAATTCCCAAAATTCTATCGGTGGGATAAAGATTTTGAAATTATTATAAAAAGCCACGTGTTTCACGAATTGCGTATTATTTAACACAACTAAACTGCTGTCTAACTAGTCTGATAGCATTTCTCTATGCCTAATATGTAAATTGTTTTTTTTTTTTCAGAAAGACCATCATTAAGAGAGCATCAATTAATCTAGTTATTTACTTGCATCCCAGAGATACACTTTTTTTCATAGATGTACCTAGAACTTCAGGCTTTTTTAACGATGCATTTAAAAGACTCGGATCGGGTCCGAGTGGAGGTCGTCCTCCCGGGCCTTCTCCGCCGCCTCCTTCTGCAAGATTACTTCCTCGCAGAAGGTTGCGACCGCGGTAAAACAACTGTCGCTACCGGCCATGGAGCGTACTACGGCCGGTAGCGAGAGATCCACTCCGATGACTGCGGTGAGGGCCCGGCGCTGCGCCGCCCATGCGGGGCAGACCGCCAGCGTGTGCTGGGCCGAGTCCTCACTGCAGTCGCAGTGGTGGCAGGCGGGACTCAGTTCCCTCCTAGCGACCGAGTGCAGGTACTTTCCGAAGCAACCGTGCCCGGAAAGCACCTGCGTCAGCCGGAAGGAAAGGGTCCCGTGCTGCCGCCCTGCCCACTCGGCGATGACCGGCTGGAGAGCCTCCACGGCGGCGAAGCCAGCGCGTGGAGTCTCCAGCCGGAACGACCAACGAGCCATCGTGGCTCGGCGAGTGGCTTCGCGCCACTCGCGCACATCCTCGGGCGGAGGGCGAAATCCGCTCTCCGCCCGGGAGTCAGCCACTCGCCGATAAACTTCGGCGAGCACTTCCGCCTCCAAATCCCACGGGGGAGTTCCGGCCAACGCGCATGCCACCTCCGTCAAAACGGTGCGGTAACCGCGTATGGCTCTGACCGCCATTACCCTCTGAGGGCGCCAGAGGCGTGCCCTATTCTGGGCGGTCAGAGCCGCCGCCCACACCGGTGCACCGTACAGTGCCATTGACCGGACAACCCCCGTGTACAGCCGTCTTGTCGCGACGCTGGGTCCACCCAAATTGGGCAAAAGTCGCCCTAGGGCAGACGCATCGCCGACCAGCTTTGGAGAAAGCTGTCGGAAGTGCTCGTCGAAGAGCCACCTCCCGTCGAAAACTTGAAACAAACCCTATACCAACCCGTCTGGCCAGCTTGGTATAGTAGGCCAAAACCTCCATTCTAAGGAGAGGCCTATGTCCAGCAGTGGACTACTAAAGGCTGTGGATGATGATGTACTAATCACAAACTCTTGTAAAATAATAGATAACGTGGCTTTGGAAGAAGAAAGATTGGTCGAAACTCATTTAGCACGTCATCAACAGCCTTAAATAGTCCACTGCTGGACATAGGCCTCTTCTTAGAAAGGAGGTTTGAGCTACTACTATTTATTACGTACTCACGCTATACTATTCATGTATTAAAGCAAAAAAAATAATGCAATGATTTTGTATGGATTTGATTTTCTATTTCAAACGGTTCAAGAATAAATTATAGTTCAGTGCAGCTCAGACTCCAACTTTTTGCATGCAAATACTTTTACGTGAAAAAGTAAAAACTCACCAATAGAACGTATACGTATTTTTATTTAAATAAACACTAGTTACATTAAATATAGTGGCTTAACATTGAATTTTTTTTTTTTATATTTTATCATTATCATTTCAAATGAAAAAATTTAAATGTCAACAGAATGCCAATTCTCGTTATAAAAGTTCGGTCTCAATTCAGTTCCGATCAACTTTCTATTTCACTTCTGTCATAAAAGGTATTTTCATAGTAAATTATCAAACATTCAACGTTAACTGTAATGTGATTATATCGTATTGTAATCTATAATTGAATCGAAAATCTGCTAGTCTTAGTAATACTTTAATATTTTACTAAGGAATAACTTTAAATGACAGTTTTAAGATCGAAAGTTGATCGGAACTGAATTGTGAATGAACTTTTATTTAGAGATCTTCTGAATTGATCTTCAGAATGCTCTCTCATTCTCAACTCAAAATTCTCGATAATCTCGATAATTGAAATTTATTAAAAATAAGATTTATTTCTACTACTACCTTATATTACGAGTTTCTAAGAAAAATAGCTATTCAAATATACACTTGAAAAAATTTACATAATTATAAGCATTTCTCATTTTTCTCTTCTTCTAAAATGTCATATTGATCAACTATTTCTGACATCTGACACACAACACCATCTAGTTTCAAACTAAGCAGAGCTTGTACTATGAAAGCTAAATTGACTGACATAATACTTAAATACTTACATATTATACATAGAAAACACCGAAACTCCGAAACAAATATTTGCAGATCATACAAACATTTTGTCCGACCCGGAAATCGAACTCGCGGCCTCAGCACAGCACTGCACCACCGAGGCAGTCGAGACAATTCATACATATGTTATGTAAATAGATATCTATTTTTGAGATTATTGATAACAGAAAAAAATACCTACCCACACATATATTATTATAGTCTACATTACATATAGGTCACCTATTTAAAAAATATTTGGAAAAATAAATATACATTGTCAAGAGATATCTACGAACATTATCAAGAACATTACATTATGAAGCGAACTACAACCGATTCAGATAAAAAATACCATTTGTTAGTACTAATAAAACGACTTCGTGTTTTAAGCTCAGCGTGTAAACTTTTAAAATCTTATTATTTTTTAAATTTACTATAGAAAGCTTTATTTAAAGCATTCTAACTAATTGTAGTCAGCTTATTTTGGTGATTCTCCAACGTATGGTGTAGCTCCAGTCCAGGTAATTTTAGCATCTTGCCACCTGAAAAAAATAATCAATTTATAATTCTACTAATTAAACCAACAGCACAGCTATCTAGTATTCCATAAATTATAAAAAAATTGTCTATATGTCAGTTATCGTAGTAAAAAATGACCTATAGTAATCTTTGTTAATGTAGCTTTCCATTAGTGAAAGAATGTTTAAAATCGGTTTAGTGGTTTAGGCGTCAAAGGGTAACAAACAAACTCACTTTTGACAGTTATAATATTTAGGATAGATTTATAGCTAATCCAAAACTTCATTTTAGTAGAAAACCAATCCGAACGAATAAGTTCATGTCTTCTAAGATTCGACAAAATTATAATAAAATGGTTACCAAATTGATATCTGTATTAAATCTTTCTTCTCCAATCAATCTTAAAACAATTCACATAATAATAACTACTCACTCCTAAACAGGTTGTACCTGCTTAACGCACCACAACTGTCCAGAGCTAGGGGAGGCTGGTAATTTGTCATACAGGTCTACGAACCTAGTACAGATACCAGTCTCTCACACAGACTCACTCAAAATAACCTAGAGTAAGATTGTTTATTGTAACCATATATGTGTGAGAGAGAACAATAAAATAAATTATTATTATTATTATTAAAATTTATTATTATTATTATTAATTGTAATTGTATGAAAACACCTAGTAATTTAGGCGGAAATTATTGTTCTAATGTTACTAAATATTAAAAAAAGCTTTTTAAATAATAATCGTAACCATTGTTTTTAATATTTCTACCTATAAATAATCGGTCTTCAATGTGGCTGAATCCCTTAAAATAATTGAAACGAATTTTAATTAATATCTCGATAATGATGCATCGGATATACTCGAATTATAAGAGATGCATATTAAAATAGCTGTTACAATATTAAATTTCATAAATAAATTGATCAACATTATAAAATTAAATTCATTTACGTTAATAAACTAAGTCGCGGCGTTATAGCAAATATTGAAGTGACGTTTAATTTTTGGTGAATGTTGTATTAAATTGGACGTATAGGTATTGTACCAAACTACCCAATTCGCGCCATTTTGTCTGCGTCTTTCTTCCATCCTTCGAGCCTTTTTCCCAAACCAAGTGCGGGTCAGTATTAAGTCTACTACGATACGGCTGAACTTAGTTCTTTACGCGGATCAACTGCCATCAGATTCCAAAATCCAAGTAGGTACTAGGCGATATCGACGACCGGACATGACGAGCGGATGGCGTGGTGGTTTATGTAACGGACTGCTATTCCAAAGGTCGCGGGTTCGATTCCCGCTCAAGTCAATCGTTTGTGTACATGAACATTTAATGTTTGATTTGGTCTGGGTGTTTCTCTGTATGATACGTATGTATGTATTTACAAAAAAAAAGTATATATGTATTTATATCAGTTGTCTAGTACCCATAGTACAAGCTCTGCTTAGTTTGGGACTAGATGGCGTTGTGTGAATGTGGTAGATTAAAAAAAAAAATTGGTGAATGTTGTATTAAATTGGTCGTACAGGTATTGTACCAAACTAGCCAATTCGCGCAATTTTGTCTGCGTCTTTCTTCAATCCTTCGAGCCTTTTTCCCAAACTAAGTTGAGGTCGGCTTTAAGTACTACGATACGGCTGAACTTCAATTGTTTACGCGAAGAGACTGCCTTCAGACCACCACAACCAAAGTACTAGGTGATATCGAAGTTCTATAGAAATACTATTCGGTTCCAATAATCTATAGGGTTCCAACTACCCGTAACGATTACTACAAATGTTCGTATGGCAACCAGGTCCGATGGATTAATGTGCTCTCCGAGCCACGGAATGTTATGTCACGGGTGTTAATGTGCTAAGAATGATCACCTATCCATAGACTGACCTGGCTAAGATTGCTTTTGCAATATGTCAATTCACTCGATTTTCTAAAGGTGACCGGTGTGCTCGTTATCCCCCCAAATACCATAAGACAAGAAGGTTACAGAATTAGCACTTCTTTCCTTATGCTATTCATAGCGAATAAGGATAGCCTTATACTAAGAGTTCAATATATTATAAATATCTCACTTCGTATGTATGAGCTTTTCTAGCGGTGTAGCACTGATGTCATCATTGCGTAGTGGTCCCACGGCATCATCATGAGTTCGTGTATCAACATTCAGCAAAACGTGACAACCGCCACACGTATAATAATGAATATCGAACCTTTAATCATAAACGATATAAAACTCAATATAAGTTAGCAAACAAGTGTCCTGTTTGAAGTAGGTGCTTGGAAAGTTCTTCGGCAAGGCTTTTACGTAAGAGGATCTCTTAATGAGGATGTATTAAATCAAAGGTTGCGATATTTTGTTGATCAAATAACAAAACTTTACTAAGTAAATTCAAAGATTTTGTACACAAATTATCATTTTGTTCACGTGTAAGTAATTGGCTTAAATGTGGTTTTCAAAGACATGTAATGGATTTGTTTGAATAAAACATAATTGATGACCACAATTTGATGATTATTTATTTGGGTTTTTTGTATTCAAAGCGTTATTCTGTGTGTATATTACCTAGTTATAGGCTAATAAACGACTGAACCTATTCCGATATTTTATTAGAAAAGTGACTAGATCGAGAAAGTCCTGTCTATTATTTGCGTTAATTAGTTCACTTAATAAAATATTATTAGATATTATGGATACTAAGAATTTTCCGAGTTAAAATCCTTTTTACGTAGAATTCCAAAAGAATAAAAATAAATACACTCAACATTAAGCAAACCGCTATAAGACTAAAGAAATACTAATTATGCAACATAAGGTGTTCGGTCCCTTTGTCCCAATGTCTAATTATTATCGACCACTACCGACACACGAGTAGGTACAAAATTATACTCGAAATGACTGAAAATTAGACTGGTTTGAAGTAAAACCTTGTAACTTCAAACTTGAGATCACCTAGTGGTCAAATTACGACTGTAAATCACTGAGATTGCTAAAGTTTGAGTGTTCTATTTTATTTTAAGGGCTTTTAGTTTAAGTTGGTCTGTTATTGTATTATATTCTCTGTATCTTCGAGGTCAATATTTACTTTAATAATAATAATATTTCAGACATCTGACACACAACGCCATCAAATTACAAACTAAGCCGAGCTAGTATTTTTGGAAAACTAGATAGACTGATAGAATATTTATATACTTTTTTGTAAATAACATAAATATTTGCAGATCATACAAACATTTGGTCCTACCCAGGAATCCAACCCGAGACCTCAGCACAGCAGACGCGCACGGTACCACTCACACCACCACACACCACCGAGGCAGTCAAGATAAGAAAATAAGTATTCTTGACTTGACTGCACGGATGGCGTAGTGGTTTAAGCGGTCGCCACGCCGCTTCCTACTACGCCGAGTGTTGTGGGTTCAAACCCCACATGGGACGACACTTTGTGTGATCCACAAATTGTTGTTCTGAGTCTGGGTGTTCTTTGTGTCCGTTTCATGTATGTTTGTAAAGTCCCCCGCGACACAGGATTTATTCCTAATGCGGGAGTTGTCTTTTTAAAAAAAAAAAAAAAAAAAAAAAAAAAAAAAAAAAAAAAAAAAAAAATTCTATCAGTCAATCTAACTTTGAAAGTACAAGCTCTGCCTAGTTTGAAACTAGATTATATATTAATATTATTTAAATATTATTGTGCTCGATTTTTATCACTATACGATCTCTAGCAACCGTTGAATATTGCATGACATCTCAGAAACTACAGGACTGATTTTGAAAATTCATTACTATCAGAATGTAACAAGATCACTTGTATAAGTATTCCCTAGTTTTCAATTGATATAGATAGGTTTTCAGATACTTTCAACCCACTCTAAAAGGCTGAAAAGGAGCAGGTAACCCCTGAAATATATGTACTGACCAGATCGTGTGTTGAAAGGATTTACATATACTCGTATATTAAAAAAAACGATCTATGAGAGGCCTATGTTCAGCAGTGGACAGCGATAGGCTGATTATGATGATATTTAAGAGGGCATAATAGGAACGTTTACCTTCTTTCAGCATGATAATTTCTCAGTAGTTCACGATTAGTGTTGAATAAAACTCCGTAGTGCCCAGAGCAGCTGGTCACCTGTATCGAATATCGTACAATGTTATTAATAATTGCCCAAAAAAACATAAGTAAGTACTTCTAGTAAAAAAATACCTTTTTCGTAACATAGACAAAAAAAGTTTCGATAAAATACATAATTGTTGTCAAGCACGTCATGCTTTTTTCAGCCTAATCTTTGTACTTTGAAAACTATCCTCGATATTTTTAGTACTTTTTGAACTATAATTTCTATAATCCAAATGATTTTTCCTTTATTATTATTATTTATAGGTTATTGCTGTTTATGTGTGTGTGTTAATTTTACCCATATAGGTAAAGCAGGAGTTTTCAACCGAGACCCAGGAAACTGTTTGTTAATGACCGCTTTAGCATTTTCTTCACCGCCGTACCACACTAGAAGACCGACAGGACTGCGAGATAGGATTCCAAATTGTGGCATAGCCTGGAATAAATATCAATTGATGAAAAAATACCTTCAGTTAGAGTTAAAAACTAAAAGTTATATCTATAATATGTATGTATTTACAAAAAAAAGTATATATGTATTATGTCTAGTACCCATAGTACAAGGTCTGCTTAGTTTGGGACTAGATGGCGTCGTGTAAATGTGATAGATTATTATTATTATAAAGTAGATGATTCTTTTTTAAAGCCGTGACGTCATAAATTTAGTGTCTTAAATTTGTGTTCGCAATGTAATTGTAAAACCAACATCCAAACTACATAATATTAATGGGTATGAGAAGCAGATGAATATTTTTTTTAGCCAAATAGTGGTTTGTAATACGTTACTTAAATAAAACAGTAGAAAATGCTTATCATCAATTAAGATAGCCTTAAATTAGAAAACAAAAGAAAATAAATTATTTTTTTACTTTACTTTTGAAAATAGAACACCAAGAACAAATGAAAGTCAAAAATACCGGCCAAGTGCGAGTACCGTTATCTCTAAAAACGTCAAAAATATCACGTTTGTTGCACAGGAGCCCCCCTTAAATATTTATTTTATTCTGTTTTTAGTAGTTGTTGTTTTGGTGGCAACAGAAATACATCATCTGTGAAAGCATACAGCCTAGTGTATCTCTGACAGGTGGACATATAGACAGACAGACGGACAAACATCGGAGTCTTAGTATTAGGGTCCCGTTTTGTCCTTTGGGTACGGCACCCTAAAAAAGACCTTCATTGCTTTTGTGTTTGTATGCAATGATGCTATAGGATTTTTAGGATTGAATGATTTTGATTCATTGCATGAGTTGATTTAAGAATCCTCTTTATTCATAAGAATTTACGAGGTGGCTTGCATTTCTAAATTTCGTTAACAGCTCACCGTCACTCCATAAAAACAAATATCAAATCCAACGAGAAATAAAAATAAACTCACGTAGTGGTCTTCATCACCGACGTACAAAACACCATTATGGAGATACGGAGTAGCTCGTCCAGTCAGAAGAAGAGTCACCACATTAATAGATCCTTCAACCTGAGCAGATACCAGATGGCTCAGTTTTCCATCTAGATCTTTCTTGACGCTGTTTTTAAAGAAAAATAAATTTGAATAAAATGTTGTTTTCTTAATTTGCCTCTCCCTCTGGACCGCATCCAAAGAAGAGCGACTCGAATCGTCGATAGCCCAAACATCTCCGATTAGCTCGATCCCTTGGCGTTACGTAGAGATGTGGCTTCACTCTGCATTCTCTATCGCATAATTCATGGAGAGTGTTCCGAGGAATTGTTCGGACTAATACCAGCCGCAACTTCCAGCCGCCATCGTTCCACACGGCAAAATTTTAATCCTTATAACCTGGATAGTTGGCACTCCACTACTGTGCGCTTTTAGAGACAATTTTTGCCCCGCACAACCAATCTGTGAACGGGTTATCGTCTACTGTATTTCCGAACCGACACGACCTTCGAACCTTCAAGAAAAGAGAGTACTCCTTCCTAAAACGCCGACACCGAGTTTGTGGCTCCTGAGTTGCAGACGGCTGCTCGTCTGCCCCCTCTAACATAAGAAAAGAAACTACTAACACATATTTTTTTGTAGTATACATAACTTACTTTTCCAATCCCCTTGATAGCACACATGAATACAAAACTAGCAAAGCACCTGCACCGTCTTCTATTTGGAACTGTAAAATAATGATTCCTTAGTCATATTAATAAATATAGAAGTTTATTTGCTACAATTTCACGGCTTAACTACTTCATTAATCATCATTAAATATTGCAGACATATTCCCAGGGACAAAGGCAGAAAAAAAGCAAAATGTATTTTGTATCCAGAACAAAAGACCAGAATTCCAAAGGATATAAAATGCAGAGTTTAATATCATCATCAACTGCCCTTAACAGTCTACTGCTGGACATAGGCCTCTCCTTAAAATGGAGGTTTTGGTTGGTATAGGGTTTGTTTCAAGTTTTGCACAGTTTGCTCTTTTAGTCGGCTCTGACGACACCCACGGGATGAATAGGGGTGGGTACACTCTGTATTCATAATCCGTCACCACACGAGTTCAATCCAATGAGTTCAATATATATATGAAAATATTGAGATACTTATTGACTATTATTATGTTAGTCTGTATGTATGTACCAAAAGGAAAACATAAAATATCTTACCAAATAGAGGTACCGCTTCAAGAATATTTGAAGATCTTCCAAACTCTTAAACTCAAACAGATGCAGCTTGTAAAAGAACACAGGCATTTTAAATTGGTAAACTGTAAAAATACATTACGAGTATATGTTATAATGTATGTATGTGTATAAATATTTATCTAATAGACTAGTAAACCTGTGACCACGTTAAATGCAATTCCAAAGGAACATTGTTTAAACAAAAAGATCATAATGTAATAATATCGATTGATTTTATTATCTAATAAACATACAAATACAACGCAAAATAAATTTCTTTATTTCCTAAAATTGATTCCCAATGATTCTCTATTTTTAATAAAATTAAAATAACAAATGAATACACTAAAAGATGTTTTGTCGTAACACAGATGATGATTATCGTAAAACAGAAAAAACTGTGTCTGCCTTTGTCAATCTATGTATAATCGCCCTTTTCAAATGGTTGAGAATTGTTGTAGCCCAAAAAATGTGGGACAAATTTCATTTTTTTTTATGAAAAAAACAGATATCTAAAAAAAATAAGAAAAAAAAGACAAAGAAAAGGTAACACATTAGCCCATGAACCCAAATCCCGATTTTTAATAATTATCTGTGTTACTTAGTCTACTACTGACTAACGATATACCCCACGAATAACAAAAACATCAAAACAATTATTTAACATGTTTTACAAATAAATCAATGTTTGTTTACAATTCCATGATTCATCATCATCATCATCAGATGATGATGATGATGATGATGATGATACCACGCTGGCCAGACGTGTTGTTATAGGGTTTGTGCAAGTTTTCCTTCTGCAGTGCTGTTGTTCTGCGTAGTTGTTTCCCTTAGTCGGCTCCTGCGACACCCACGGGATGAATAGGGGTGGTGACTCCGTATTCTTAATCCATCACCACAAGAACAATTCCATGATTACGATTATTATAATTTCAAATAAAACAAAACCAAAAGAAACTAGAAAGAAACTTACCTTTTCTGTAACACCATCTTGATAATACTGGGAACTATGTTGAACATAAGTATTGTCACTAGGTAAGCACACAATAGCTTTAGGCTCAGTTCCTGCCTGATTATTGAATCCTCCTGCACTACGCCAGATGACGTCACTGCAAGCACGCCACATGGCTTCTTCCTGGCGTTCCTCCGAAGGACGCAGATACCTTGAAACCGAATTAAATATTTTGAAAATCTTTTATCCTTACGCGGATACTAAAAACTAAGTTTAAGTTAAGCTGTACATCTCACAGTTATAACATTTTTTTTTATGGTATAAGGGGTAAGCGTGCAGATGGGCACCTTATGGTAAGCAACCACCGCCGTCCATGGACATCTGCAACTCAAGTCACAAGTGCGTTGCCGCCGTTGGAGTCCCTCCCGCTCGAGTCGCTGGGATTTGGAGGCCGGTAACCTCACTCACTCAGTGAAAGGCAACGAAAGAATTGCTTAACACCGGTTTTCTGTGAGGCCGTGGTATCACTACGGTCGCGCGGGCCCATGCGTGCCAAAACATGGCTCTCCCACGGTAAAACCGGAAAACCGGAATCGGAAATTAACGCCATTCGATCAAAAGGAGGAAACTCAAGGAATAGAAATGCTCATATTTTCAACTTTTTACTTACATCATTTGCAAATCTTATTTGAGGGACTGCATGTAATTCTAGTGCCGACTACGACCGGACGGCGTAGTGATTTGTGTTACGGACTGCTATTCCAAAGGTCGCGGGATCCATTCCCGCTCAAGTCAAACATTTGTGTACATGAACATTTAATGTTTGTTTTGGTACGGGTGTTTCTATGTACAATATGTATGTATAAAAAAAAAGTAGAAATGTATCTATATCAGTTGTCCAGTACCCATAGTACAAGCTCTGCTTAGTTTGGGACTAGATGGCGTTGTGTGAATGTGGTGCAATTTTATTATATTATATTAAATACCTGAATATGCCTTAAATATGACAAACTATTCTCAAAATATTCAGACCCTGTGCTACGGTAACTAATTTGTTAAAAACATACTTAATTTATGTATTATAAAATAAATACGTATAATAATTAAATAACACTCAGACACAGAATGAATGACCGTGCTCATCACACAATTATAGGACCTGGGTGGGAATCAAACCACGACTCCTAGCTCAGTAGTCGTAATCACTAACGACCAGATCAACACTACAACTGTGTATTGTTGACAGTATAGACAATGTATCTCCATAAGAAAAAGTTACCCGACCAAAACATATCCTTATTATAATAATATATCCTTCACTTACAGCGATATATAGTTTAAATAAACACGACGCTTCCGCAGGTTAGAACATAACGTCGACCATTTGAACTAAAATATTGGTCGACGAAACAAGTATAGTGCAGATTTATGCCAAAACACGTGGCGTTCTAGAGAATTATGATCGGTATTTTGAAGCCATGTTTTATGCTTCTGCGCATATCATTTTATACTATTTTAAGGTATGATATTAAAACGATATGAAACAATATTATAATATGTTTGTTTGTTTAATACTTTTGTGGTTTAACTAATCACCATTCCTTGCATTTCATTTCAAAAACAGTAATATCAAGAGAGACATCAGTTACTAAAATTCTTTATTTAAATAGCATACGTATGAAATATAAAAATTATCTTATAAAACCGTTATGTTTCCAAGTTTACTGATGTTTATTTTATACACAAATTAACAAAAAGGTTTCTTCGAAACAAGTCAATTCAAAAGGTATCTTCGTCTAAGACGTTAAATTATGATTTTATACAAAAGCCGTTTTAATCGGCTACGGATTGTAAATGCTTTGATGTGCGTAATACCCAAATTTAAGAAAAGGAATGACATGAAATATTGAATCATTAACCTAAATTTTCACTAATTTGTTTGCATTGTCCCCTAAGTAAGAGTATTGTAGACACATTATATATAATAGAAGTATTTTCTTTTGACTTTTTTAACATTTGAGACCTTTTTTTTTCATATGAACAATTATCTGATCCCAAACCAGGTTGATTTTGTACTGTGATAACTATGGTAATATGGTAATTTTAAGTCAATAAAAATTAATAACGTTCCATGTGGTGACGAATTAAGAATACAGAGTGAATTATGACACCCACGGGATGAATGGGGGTCATTCATCCCGTGGTTGTCGTAAGTGTCGACTAAGGGAGCAAACTAAGCAGGACAACAGTACTGCAAAGAGAAGGAAAACTTGACACAAACCCTATATCAACCCGTCTGGCCAGCGTGACCAATTTCCTTTCTAAGGAGAGGCCTATGTCCAGCCATGGACTATTAAAAGCTGTTGATGTGATGATGTAACATATTAATATTGGTTACAAACTTAAATGATTTTTTTCTAAGGCTATTTTTGAAATAATTTGACAGCAGCATGTTAAATTTAACATGCCACTTACCTCTATCATAATTATCGTCATCACTTTGGCGATAAACAAAAAAAGACTAAATGTTTGAAACAGTCAAGTTGCAAATACCTTTTAGTGAGACAAAGACTGTTGAAAAAAAATTATAGTTTTAAAAAACCAAAAAACACGCTTTTTATAGAAAACCAAACTTTTTAAAACTATATGTTTTTTTGTGTATTGTATAGTGTATTGTCATCGGTCCTCGATATATCTACAAAGTTTGAACGAATTCTGACCGTTTAAAGTCAGTCAAAATCACGCCCAAAGGAGTCGGTTACAAACATACAAGTGAAGCTAATATACTCGTAAAGCGTGTAAAAAAAAAGTTTTAAATCGTTTATATCTCGTAAGCCTGAATAAGCCTCTGTTAGCAGTGACTTGAGGGTAGTTTTGGTACTAGTGTCGTTTGTCATAACCAGACATGAGTATGAAAGCGAACGCTAGTTATTTTTACCCCGTGTTGTCTATGTAACATACTACATACATACAGAAACATAATGTTTGTTTACCAAACTTTTTTGAGACAGATTTATGTAGTCGTTAAAACTATTTTATACATGACTAGATTTTGCCCACGGCTTCGCTTGCGTAAATGTCAATTTTTTCAATGAATTTGTCCGGTACAAATAATAGTCTTTATGCTATTCTAGAATATAATCTATCTATATGCCGTTTGGAAAGCCGTTTTGGCGTGATTGAGTAACAAAGACACATTTTTACAAATTGACAATTGACAAAAAATATTATGTGTCTTTTTTTATAAAGAATAATAATTGTACTGAATGTTTGGAATCGATAAATAGAAAAAAGATATAGTTCGCAACACTAACTTCCATTCCTTTTTCAGAGTTAGTTTTGAAAAATTAGTAACAACTACTTTTTAATAAAGAGTATTTAACTGTGAATTTTAAATAGTGCCTTCTTCTTCTTCTTTTTGTCATATAAAAGGTTATACATATGCAAGTAATTGGAATAAAACAAGACAATTAAATTGCGGAAATCTGACCATTAGGTCGGTGCTTAAAATTAAGTGTAAATAAATTATTATAATATTAGGTGGTATCAACAACACCATTTTTTTTTTTTAACGTGTGGAAATCCCCTCGGACCGTCACCCCGCCGGGGCTCTCGTTCGGCGGGGCGGTGTGTCGGACTCGAACCGACTAAAACCACACGATGTGCCCTCTTTGCGTTTCCAGTTTAGGGGGGGGGGTCCAGTTAGTTATCGCCTTCTGGACCCCTCCCAGCGCCGGCCCGCTCCTGGTGCGGGTATCAACAACACCAACACCAACCAATATGTAGAACGGGTTATGGTCTGCGGAATTTCCGGACCGATAGAACCCTTAAACCTTGAAGAAAAGAGCGTATCCCTTCCTAAAAGGCCGGCAACGCTATTGGCACCTGCGTTGCAGACGGCGATGGTCACTTTCCATCACGTGCATGTCTGGCCGTTTAACATAAAAAAACCGACTTAATACTACCAGGTCTTTTGTTATAAATAAGTAAATTTGTGTAGGTGTGTGTTAATCATAGTATATATAACACACACATACATACACAGTTTACCTTTTTTGTGTCTATACAATAAACAATGTAATTTTCTTTATTTGTTCTTTCTCACATATTGGCTTGTGGCAACCTTTTCCAACCGCGCTAATGGCTAAACCGCGCCGGTTTTTAATTAACATTGAGTGTAACGTGTCACGTATTTTAAGCCATTTTGTCATTCGTGTATATGGTATGCATTTTACCTGTGGTCTACCGGAACAGCAGAATTATTTACATGGTATAACAACATGGTTCTTAGTGTAGGCTATTCCACAAATTAAAATCATCAAAGGATAAAATCGGGACGGCTACCAACATTTTTTTTTATTGTGTTTTTTTTTATTAAGTGTGGTAGTTTGTTGCCCTGATATATATGAATGAATGTCGCCATATTGTTTATCTTGACAGTAATGTTTTGTCAATATACAGAAGATCTCTCACAGTCAATCTGTCTCATTCACTCACCCAGTTTTCAAATAATGAGATTTTCTAAAAATCTGTTTGTTTTTTTATTAATTTTATTTTATATAAACCTTGTCCCGACGACAACGAACACAAAAAGAATTATCCAATATGCCGTAGTCGCTCAGAAGTTACGATCGTAAATACATTTCAGCGATTCATTATTTTATATTTTGAATAGACATAGATCGGTAGTAAATGAGAATAACAGTAAATCTAATCAAAATGTATTCCAAGTTCTTGCCAAGAGTCGTACATAGATCCGTACAGCCCGTTGGCTTCAACGAGAATGACCGAGTCCTCGCAATGCAGCTCGTTTTTATAGGACCCATCGCTCGTGCACGTATTTAAAGTTAAGTGTTAGGTTAAGTGTTGTATTTCCTTGGTGTTTTTAGATAACATGATTCTTCAGTTTGTCTTAATACTAACTATTAAAACTTGATTTATAATTAATAAGAAATTATTTTAAATAAATTAAATTATTTTTATTAATCTGTTCGTTTTTTTTTATTTTATTCCACAAAAACCTTGTCCTGACAACAACAAACACAAACAAAAAAGATTTGTCGAATTTAGTGCAATCGTTCAGAATTTATATACATACATACAATTCAACGATTTATTTTTATTTATATGGATGATTGAGTCGGATATAAGCGATACATCAAGAACGTGATGCGTCGGTGACCATCGTTTGAGTTTTATCAAACAAGAGGGCCGTCTGATCCGCCGTGTGACGTTCCGTCAAAATGACAACTATCACTCCATATGTATGTATTTAGCTACTTACATACTTAGAACTATATAAGTATGTTAATTAGCAGTCTCGTTATCATACAGGTTTTATAGAATTTGCGGTCAAACGGTCGTGTATGACGCATCTAGTTATTATTATTACTAATTAACAATATTGTACGATAGTAATACTCACGTGTCAGGTGGTACATCACACTTATTATCCTTCGTTGGTGGCCGTGAATCAAAAAGTAGCCACTTAATCATGTGTGCCTGAAGAGCAGACAACAGAGACCTGGCTCCATTCCTTGGAGCAGCCAAGCCGTATCCCAGCGGTTGATCTGGAGGCCTCATGACTAGAGGAGTTCGTATCCATTCTCCTCGAGGTGGGCAGGAAGCTGAACTGAAGCAGGTTATTCGAAGATCCTGTAAAGTTTAATTCATAAATGTTACGTGCAGAGTACACGGTTATCAAGAGTCATGACATGGAGATATGGCATAGCTGAGTTATACTAAATATCTCTGAATGGAGTTCCCAAAAGCTGTAAAACTGGACATTTCCCAGCTCCTGAGTCTAGGATAATGAAGAAATAGATAAAATCAACATTCCAATCAAGAGTTTCAGTGAATATTGTAGCTACAACTACCGTCACTACCTACAATATATGATGTTATAAATAAAACAAAACATTGTCTTGCACAAAATCCGTTAAAAGAGCATAGACACTGACAATATACTCACAGAAGCTAACTCTTCGCTTATCGGCTTGCCGCCGACCACAGCTGGTTTAGCGCCATTCAATAACTTGTTCCTAGCGTACAAAACCCGCTCTGAAAATGATTTGTAGTTTCAATCCTTTGCTTTGACACTGCGAACTTTTGTCAGTTCTTTTATTAATATTACTGCGTTATTTTATAGCTTATTTATATTGAGATATACATGGTTAAAGTATATGATCTAAATGATAAATACATCTATGTATTTGTATCTTTGTCGATGCTTTCGCAGCTATGATACTATATAGACATATCAATGATTTAAAATATATCAAAAACTCCTATGAAAAAAAGGTTATGAAAGTCATAATATTTTATTTGCAAAAATACAACTAAGTTAAGTTAAGTTAAGTTAAGTTTTTAAGTTATTTAACTGATACCCCAATCAGTCAAATGACAACTGAACATAAGACTTTGTAATGAGTCTGAATAAAACTCAGCATCGTTCGTCTTCAGACATAAATCCAGGCGGTTCTTAAGCAATTTGAATCGGTACAAACTAAAAGTTATCTATAAAAAGCTTACAAATAAGTATTAACTAGACACACTTATCATAAATACAATTATTTAAATTTGTGTAGTACATTATCCTAAACATCTATTTTTTTCTTAAAAAAAATGCTTCTCCCTGTGAAGGCTCACACTTCAATTAAATTTTAATTATTATGTAAAAGCAGATGTTTTCAATAAAATCTGTACATCAACTTCAATCTCGTTAGATCTCTCTTACTGTATAAGTTCCAAAAAATATTTCTGGTCACCTGATCGTAAATGATTATCGCCGCCGATGGGTACTCGAAACTCAAGAGGCATAGGTGCGTTGAGCCTTTGTGTGCACCCTTCTTCCAGAATTTATGTGCAGCTGTAGTATTAATACGGTCGAAAAGACCTATAAGTGCCGCAGCAAATCACAAGGCTTTCCGAATTTAAGTGTCAAAGTAAAATGTAAATTTAACTATAAAATTTCCTTTTAAAACATTTTATATTTGCGGCAAATATTTTGCTATTTTAATCAATAAAATACATCAACACTCTCTAAAACATTATTAATATTATTTTAAGTTTTTATTTAACCAAATTACAGGTATTGTCTGTACAAGTAGCAAACAGATAAAGGTACGATAGTTACAACTAACAGTAAAACATAAAAATAAGATGTTTATTAGGTTGTAGAAATATGTAAACCTAAAATTAATCCTGGCTCTTAAACTGGGGTCACCTGTATTTTAAGCGACAGGTTTCAGCTATTGTTCTAAAAATTAATTAATACGACAATTATTTACATTGTGTCGATCTACCATTGACAATTACATATTTGAAATACATAAAACCATTATCGCTAGGTTTAATTACATTACCCTCAATACAGTGGTTGTTTAAGACTGAATAGTATTTACCGACTCAATACCATTCCATAGCAGACATTTTTATGATATTCGCCATTTTGCAGGGGTATTCAAAAAACACATCTATTTCAGTAATACCTGACCCACGAATCCTTACTTTCTCATATAAATGGACCCCCCATTGAATCCTGTTAGCTCAACCATTGTTAGGATCACAATACGTTCCAATTACGAAGGTCTCGTACCAGATTTTCTTGTGCCTTCGTATCTTGAAACAAATTGGAGAAAAAAAAAGATAGAATAGACAGTCGTAAAGTGTGTTTTTATCTATCGAAATGGTTTTTAAACATTGAATTTTGTAGGTTTTAATTTTGCATTTATTCAATTATATTATATAGAGGAATATATATATATATATGTAAAAGAAGAAACTAACAGACTAAATCACTGACTGAGCGATAAACGTACAGCTCAAACCGCTGGGTCTAGAAGAATGAAATTTTTCACAAATAGTCCTTAGGTGACATAGGTGTGCATTAAGAATGTTTTTTTATTAAATTTACCCTTAAAAATGGGGGTTGTTATTTTATATGAAACTTCGTTGTTTTTGATTAGTATCCTCTACAATATGTGATGTCGACCACCTCGAGAACGAAGTCGCTATCACAAGCTAGTGTATACATAATTATAAAATTACTGGCTTGTTCTGGTTGACTGATTCATCAACGCAGAGCCTAAGTCGCTGGGGCTATGAACTTCAGAAAGTTCAGTTTTTATGTTTTTATGTTGTAAGCACCACGTTGTAAGCACCACGTCCGTGTGGTGACGGATAAAGAATACCCAATGTCATTACCCCTATTCATCCCGTGGGTGTCGTAAGAGCCGACTAAGGGAAAAAACTACGCAGAACACCAGCACTGCAGAGAGAAGGAAAACTTGACACAAACCCTATACCAACCCGTCTCTCCAGCGTGATATAGTAGGCCAAAACCTCCTTTCTAAGAAGAGGCTTATGTCCAGCAGTGGACTAGTAAAGGCTGTTGATGATGATGATGAAGCACCCACTAAGAAATGATTTTTCCCCTAAGTGGGTAAAATAAGAGATGAAAAGCTGTATGGTAAATCGTCATTTTGAAAGTTAGAAACTCGAAATAAGAAATAATCAAGCTACAGACAATAGCTTGTTGGTTATAGACAGATAGATAGGTAGGTTCCTACTCATAATTGAACATCAAAAAGTATACATTCTAGGAATATGGTATCAAATAACAGTAAAATACAACAAACCTCCTTTCTAAAATCAGTATCGGGTCGGACCATATGTTGGTATGAACTGCAAATATATTTTCTTAGTTTGAAACTAGATGGCGTTGTGTGTGAGATGTCCAAAAATATTATTAAGGAGAGGCCTATGTCAGCAGTGGATTATTAAAGGCTATTGATGATTTGAAAGGACAATTTTATAGCAGTCTTCAATCTCTGACGGTCCACCTATCTAACCGTGGCCGCGTGGGAGAGCCATGCTTTGGCACAAATGGACCGGTTCGACCGGAGGAAAACCAAAACCTCACAGAACACTGATGTTAAGTAATACCTTTGTTGCTTTTCACAGAGTGAGACAGGTTACCAGAGTTACAAATACTTCTGGGGATTCCCCCAGAAGTGTTTCAACCATTTGGTCACTCCAAGGGCGTAAACGTACTTGTGAATCTTGTGGTGGCAAGTCTCTGTTGCTTCGAAAGGCATATACATAAAAAAAAACACATTATTTAAATGTTTTCTATACTAATCTAACACAAAGAATTTAATTTGAACACTTTATTAATCTAAAAACTGACCTCCTTTTATGACCAAACTCATTTTTCGATCGTATTTTTAGCATGTCATGATGCTCACTGAAACTCAGTTTAAAGTAATTTATTTTACGGTGGATGTGCAAGGTAATGCTTAATCTCAAAATTAAGTTACTTTTTTCTTAAGCATTTAAATTCTCGAACGAATTTAAGCTCCGTGAGTTACACAGAATGGTCGTATTTTCGATTCAAAGTTTCGATATTGGATCTAATTGAATTTAGAGAACCTCAATTTGTCTTCATTTATTTTGATCTTGACCTGCAAAGCATTTAAGATACTGTGAATAAATTGAACACAGCGATTTAAATTACACTCTATTTTATCCATCCCACGCTTCTGAGAATAAAACTGAGCCAATAATGTAACTAAAACTGAAAAGTTTATTAAAAATATTACATGGAAATATTAATTAAAGCTATTTTGTGTAAATATAATAGAGTTTCAAGGGTTGCTTAGTCATTGTATACCGACACAATAATTACCTTGAAAAATACTTATTTCCACAACAAACCGTGCGAAAATAAGCAGGTGAGGCTTGGTCCAAATACGCTGACTAATCACCACTGGTCAATAACGTTGTCTTTACAAAATTCAACAAATAAATATGAAGTTTATATAAAATTGTATTTAAGGTATTGTTAATTTTTTTTGTTATTTATTTTGATCTCAACAAATTTAAGATTACATACCGAGAGTTACGTATTAAAGAAAACTTTACACAAACCCTATACCAACCCGTCTGGCCAGCGTGGTATAGTAGGCCAAAACCTCCTTTCTAAGGAGAGGCCTATGTCCAGCAGTGGACTATTCAAGGCTGTTGATGTGTGATGTGTTACGTATTAAAATAGTAATGAAGCTTTGTTCATTTCTAATATTTTTTTGATAATATTAAAGGAAAAAAAACGGTGGCTAAGCTATATTTATACAGAGTATTACAGAATAATGTATTTTACAATTTTAGGAGAGTTTTATCCAAAATAATTTTAAAGTATTTTTACTTTCAGACAATAAATATTGTATTTGTACTAAATACTTGTAGTTGCATTTATATTGGTATTTTTTACAAAATACGGTCATTGGGACAGTTCAACCGACATAACGACCCCTAAAGCTAATCGTTTTTATTTTGTAATAAAACCGGTCAGTTACGAGTAGAACTCGTGCACCGAGGGTTCCGTACTTACCCAGATTTTAAGTAGATTTTCGCGAAAATTTGTAAGTACCAAAATTTATTTTAATTTTCAATTATCTTTTGGAATTATTCCTTTATTTGTGTTGTAAGACGTTTCTTTTTGCCAAATTTCCTGATTACCATATGGGTTTTCGACCCAAAACCTATAAGGTACTTCTGGTTGACCTAGAATTGTCAAATTTGGTTAAAAGCAGGGTCTAACAGCACAAGTAAAGAGAAAATTCTGAAAAATAAAAAAAAGTTGAAAATTAAGGTAAATTTTGGTACTTACAAGTTTTCGCGAAAATCGAAATTTGCCCTTATCTTTTTATCGTGTCGACTCAGGACCTTGATTTTTATACACCTTATAGGGACCATAGACCTCAGTATCTGGTATAAATTTCAACTTACTAGGTCTACCTAGGTTCCTGAGGAAATCGGTTATGACACACGAACAGACAGACGGACAAGAAAGTGATCTTATAAAGGTTCCGTTTTTACCTTTTGAGGTAGGAACCCTAAAAAATTACAAATTTATGTAACTTTGTTAGATCTCTTTGGTTTTTTTTACTCTATTCATAGATAACATTAAACAAACCGGGGCATATTAATATTGTGTACAACACTATAAACTACAAATGTATCAATACTATAAAATTCCTCATGCCAGATCCCAAGTGCAG